GTTTTGGTTCGAAGGCTTGTAAGGAAATCCTCCGGCCTTCTTTTCAGATCGTGTTTTGGTGAAGAAATGTGAGGCAATGGACCAGTTCAAGCTAACTGTACTGGAGGATTGTTAGCAGCGGCGATCCTATACTTAGTGACCTGAAAGTACCATTGCCTCTAATAGCGATTTACTCCCTAATAAACACACATAATTGTTGAGTGTGTATATATCCTAATATTCTTCGAATAACTAATGATTAACGTTAGTTAATTGAAGTCACGCTCAGCTACAAATTCAAAGGGATTTTTCCGCACGTTTCCCAGATGATTTTAAAGAATCGCTAATAATCTTTTCTCCTGGAGATCATCAACCCCTTTGGAATGGCAGTTTATTAGGGACTTTAAGGGAAAGCAACCCAGAATGTTTTTATATTGACTTCAATCCCTTGTACCTCTTTAGCAAACTATACTCCGCAGGGATTAAAATACGCCCGTTCCTCGGGCGCTGGTAGGGCTCGTTCTTCCTGCTAAAAGCACCGTGGAAAGCTCAGAATAAGAAGGGTAGTTAAGAAGGAGGTAGAAAAGGAAAAAGGAAGGAAAGCCCCCAAACAAGTTCAGTAGGCTAAAAATTCAAGAAAACAAAATAAACAAAGCGCGCGCACACAAAAAGCCGAATAAATGCTAATCCTTCCCTACCGCAGTTTATTTTCTGCAATTGGACTTCTCGAAAGAAACAAACAAATAGAAGCAGCCCCTCCACTCGCAGGCAGGAGACCCGTAAAGATCAGTTTAGCAAGTACGTGAATTTACCCATACAGTACTTGGATATCAAACAAACAAAAACAAAGGAAAACACGCAAAAAAAAACCCTCAAAGAGACTGAAACACACTTGGTTGATTGGAGAATCCGTGGAAACGCTGCTCTCTCGCTTTACCCCACGGAACTTTTTAACATCTAGGGGACAGCCTGTGGTTCTCCAAAAGCCGTTGGGTTCCAGTTCCCACCGGACCCAGCCATCAGGATCGACGGGTCAAGGATGATGGGACTTGGAGCCCAACAGTGACTGGGACAGCCTTAAATTGCGTTTGCGACCTCCGTGCCCACGACGCATGATAGATCCATCATCCCTGTCAAGGAAAGGCCTTTCGGATTAAATGCCTCGGGTTGGAAGAGTGATTGCCTTCTATTCTCGAAGGCTTTCACGGCCGGGATCCGATGGTGGTTGTAGATTTTTCAGGCTGTTTGGCCGTGTTCCGGAGGTTTTTCTTCCTCCAGAACACGGCCAAACAACCCGAAAAACCTACAACAACCATCAGTGATTGCTTTCTTTATTTGTTTACAGCGTTCACACTGTTCCACAACCTCCGCCCTATTTCAGCCAAAACCAATCCGGCCCTCACTCCCACCCCATACTCTGGGCATGAAACTCTCTTCACTTCCAGGAGAATTTCTTTAATCTAAATCGGCGGTTTGGCTAGGTACCTTTGCTAGTTATTAACCGATCGCTTTCCTTGAAATTAACTTCCCCTGAACTCATTTGGGCGCGATCAGGACGGCCGCCTCCACCGCTTATTAGTATTAAAACAATCCACGCGTGACTAAAAGACCGTCGCTCTTCCTCCAGCAATCCAGATCCGTTAAATTTAAAACTCCACCGTCCCCATTGGCCGTATTGGCTGGGGTTGCTGGGAGTTGTAGTCCGAAATATCTTGGGCCACACTTTGTTGGGAAGGAATGCTAACCCAATGGCCGAAGTGTCAAAATGAAGGAAAGGAAACAACGCTACCTAGATTTCTTCCAGTGAATTTAGGAAGCGCGAATGCCCCCCCCCCCATTCATTCTGCTGAAACAATTCATCTTACTGAGAATTCATTCTCAACCACTGGGCACATGGAACCTAAGTTAGAAGGGGTCACTTACTCCCCAGCAAAAGGCAGATATACGGATGGCAAGACACCCCTATGCATGCCTTCTCATGAGTTTGCCTCCCAGTATTTCATGACACTTACTCCCAGGGCATGAGAGAGACGCCAGCCCGAGTCCCGCGCGAAATTCAGCGGACTTTCAGCCCAACGCGCTGCGTTGCTACTAGGATTGGGCTCAAGAGGGCCTGCTTTTCTCTGAACTCTTTTGTCTGGCTGGATCATGCCCAGCATTTTCTACGCCGGCAGCCCAGTGAAACCAACGCCCACGCTCTTATTTGTCTTAAAACTGACTCACCCTTTCAAGCTTATCATCGTGTCATAAAGTATTTAGTGTCTGTAGGCTGCCCTCTCTAGCTAAACGCTCATCTTTGGCTGCTCACGGAAACTAGCCCTGTTCAGATACTCATACCTCTCATTCTGCCCATTGACTTAAAATGGGAGAGAAAGTTTAGATATGGAGAAGGCGCAACACACGTACTCTGCATCTGGGGCAAATTAAATTTAACCTAGGCAAAAACATTTCTGAGAATTTTTAAATGGTTCTTTCAAAGGTAATCCTGGCCTGCCTGCCTGCCTTCCTTCCTTCCTTCCTTGTCTAGTTTCTTTATTTACCTGCCCACCTTCCACCCAACAAGCCCAATTTGACCCAGAGGTCAGGAAGCGTTATATTTTCCCGACTACAACAACCAGAATCTCGATGGCCAAGGCGGCTGGGAGATTTCTGGGAGATGTCTTCCCTAGAAAACGAACTTTCCGAGGTCTGATTTTTTCTCTCTCTCTCGGTTTGATCTGTTCCTCTTTGCTCTTCTCCAGACCAGGCCCAGCTATGGCCCGCTGGAGCCTCGCCTCACCTCCGCGAAAAGGCCGCAGTGGGACCTACCGCTGCCGTTTTAACTGCCGCCAAGGGGGCCTCGAAACGAAAATGTGGGTCTCCCGTTGGCTTTCTTGGTGTAACAGTAGAAGTTTCGCTCGGATTTTGAGGATCCCCACCCCCCCGTGGCCTCTCGAAAAAGGGCGCTTTCATCAAGCCTCTCTAACCCGCATGCCAGTGTCCCTCACCCCCCCCCAAAACACAAACCGCTGAAGAGTAAATAGGTTTCCTGCTTGGTATTAAATGGCTGCATTTAATTAATCCAGGAGAGAACAGTAAGTCCCGAAAGAGGTCACTCCTGGCCAAATTTTGTTTTTCCCAAATCACAAAAAGAAAAAGAAAAAAAAAGGGACAAAGCGTTGGTGACCTGTTCCCCCCTCCCGCCGCCTTTTTATCGAAGGGTTATTCTTTTTAATCGCCCTCATAGAGAGGAAGAGTGGATAGCTTTTAATGAACTACCCAGAAAGGGATTCCATAGCAGCCCTCCCCACGCAGATCCTTCTTGGAAACATCCCCAGAGATCGAGGGCACCCGGAGTTTCTTAAAACCTTCGACACCCCGAAGATTTCCGTCTTTTTCTTTCCGCAGCACATCAGGCTGCTGAAAAACTGATGCGCCCGTTCAGTTCCGGGCCGAGGGAAACTTCGTCCTGAGGGCTCGAACTTCCCAGAGGATCGCACCGGGTGAACCCAATCCCTCCAAAGAGTTGTTGCGTTCCCGTTCCCCGGAAATCAGCCCCTCCCGTCTCCTCAATTAAAAAACCTTATTCTGAGAACGGAGACTCGACGATCGAACTGGAATCAATGTTTTCCTCGGGATTTTCTTCCCAGGAAAATCGTTTTGGAGGCACAGCTTAGCCAAGTTACTCGAAAACAGATTCCATTGGTTTCTTACTCCCGAGTATACTCAGGAGCACCAATACAAACTTAAATTTCTAGTTCCAGCTAGAGCGGTCCGGTTGAACCGCTGGAACGTAACCTACCTATTGCCTTCATGTACAGTATCCCATTCGCTCATCGGGTCTACTCTAGTTGGACCTAACGACTGGATTTAGGCCGATGGCACAATCCTATATGTGTGTACTCAAGAGTGAGTAAAAACGTGAACAGAACGGGGCTGTAACCCGTGCACTGCAGGTCTCTGGTCTCTTTTGCAGGGGCATCTAAATCAGTCCTCTGCTTGTTTACTCTGAAGTAAGTCCTACCTTGTTCAATTGGACTTCTTTGCTAGAAAAAGTGTATGGGGAGTGCCATCTTTACATCGGACATCTAGGCTGAGCCCCAGGCGCTTTGCTATACTATGGGGAGCGGGGGCAGGAAGAGGGAGCTGGCGCGTAGCCTGCAGCGCCTAACCCGCTTCAGCCGCAGTTTGCTTGTTTCCGCCTTTCATTCAGCAGGGAGGGGGAACTTTCTCTCCCCACCCCATCCTACCCTCCAAACACCGCCCGGCGGATTCTAGGCTCAGTCTCATTGTTCATCCCAACTACACAACAGCCGCAGGGAATGAACGGGACCCTTCCAGGCAAGCCTTAGCCCTCCGTCTCTCGCCTTCCACTTAAAGCTTTGTTGGCAAGAGAAGGCAGAAAGCCCAGCTCGTCCCGTTCCATTTCCAAACGGTAGCTCTGAAGACACGGGGTTCGTTTCCCAGCACACACACATACACACATCACGCCGTGGATCTTTCCTGGCATAAAATGAAATGGTCAAATGATGGGGAAGGAAGGGGGCCCCGTTCGGAAGAAGGGGAGGTGAATTCCTGCCAACTGATTGCCCTGTCCGCTTCCCTCATCCCGGCAAACCCGGGCGCCCCCCCCTCCCTTATGACCTCTCATCCCCTTTGATTTTTCATTCCTCTGTTGCAGACCGATTTCTAAATTTTTTAAATTTTTTTAAGAGAGAGGCCTTATGGGCGTGATCCTAAACCCGCGTCAGGGGAACAAAGACAGCGGCGGCGACCTCTGCAAACTTACTTGGAAGTAGCCCCCCCCCCAAAGTAGGCCTTACTTCCGAGTCAGTGTCTGGTCAATAACAGAGAAACGCTTGGCCCAGGGAAGTGTGCAATCGCCTAGCCTCCCCCGCCCTAAAAATGACCAACTTTAAAAAAACCCAAACAAACTGGTGGCTGGTTTTCTTAGTTCTCTCTCCAGACAGGCGGGGAAGTACTTGGCGGGGTTAACAAGGGGAACCCTTGGAGACGAGAGAAAGAGCGGCGGAGCGGCTCACCCTGACGCGGGGCTCCGTGAGGTTGGTCCATACGGCGATCTCCTCCCGCATGCTCATGTCCGGGTAGCGGTTCCTCTGGAAAGTGGCCTCCAGCTCCTGCAGCTGCTGGCTGGTAAAGTGAGTCCTTTGACGCCTCTGCTTCTTCTTCTTGGCCGGGTCGTCTGCGCTGCCGTCGTCGCTTTTCGGCACACCGCTTCGCTCCTTTTCTGTAAGGCCAAAAGGGCCGAGCACACACACACACACACACACACACAAGCACAAAGACGTTAAAATGCAAGAAAGGGACGCCTGGAATAGAGGAACGATACAAACACGTCTCTCACAAGAAATCGCTCACAGTGTGAAAAACTGAACAGCTGTTGTTCTCCAGCACAAATACAGTATGCCCTAAATTATACATCGCTTTCCAGCAGAGAGGGAGATTTTTCTCTCTCTCTCTCTCTCTGTGTGTGTGCGTGTGCGTGTGTGTGTGTGTGAGTGAGTGAGAGAGAGATGGAGAGAGAGATCTTGGATTTGAACCAGTCCGTCTCCTTCAAAAACTCGCACCAGACGCAACCGAGGACGGAGGATTTTCCATTACAAAAATTAGGGCCAATCAAATCCAGAAGTCGAGCTAACCTTGTTACTCTCTGCGGAGGATTTGGAAAGCTCGAATATGGAATTAAGAAGTGGGGCTTTTTTTAAAAAAAAAAGGAAAAAGGGAGCGAAGAAGCACAAAAGTTTATTTACGAGTCCTTTTGGAGTCTTTTGTGCCTCTAAAAACAAGGAGAAGTCCATTGCTAGGTTTTGGTTATTGTCTTTGGACTTTTTCCTATCATGTCGAGAGGGTAAAATAATAAATATCAGAGGGGAAAAAAGGATACCCCCCTCAGGGGCATGCTAGAATTTATTTAGAAAGAAAAGGAGGGTTTTCATAAAACTGGAATATAGACAGTGATTAGTTATGTTTTGGGAATATCAGTTTCTTACTCTCAGTTGATTTTTCAGCTGCCTATAATTTGTTTTTTGTTTGCTTGTTTTCTGTGTGTATGTTGTTTTTAAGTTAGCTAAAAACAGTGACACACCAGCGGGAAGAAATCCACCTCCCAGCAAAACATTTGCAGTAAGGATGTAGATATTAACTTGAGCTTATGGAAAATGTGTACTGTATATTTACACAAATAATTCCCCACCTCCACCTCAAAACCTAACAGCTACTGGTATGTTTTATGGCTACAACTTCTATCAACTTGTTTTGACCTGTGCATTTATACAAAGGCTGTAGTTCCAGTTTGCTGCCAGGAAGGTGCAAACCTGTATCCCTTTAATGCACTGGGGCTCACTCCGAAAAAGACATGGACAAGGTTATGATTCAAAATGGAGAAACCCTTCAGGGCATGATCCAGCTACTTCAAAATCCTACTAGCTTTGTCCCATTGAAATCGCAATGGATTTCTGCCCCTGAAATCCTATTGGTTTTCTCCTCTTTCATTCTGTCACTGAAATCAATGGGACTTCCTAGATGTAATCCTGTGGACCTTTAAATGTCCTCGAATTAAATGGATTTCTTTTGGAGTTAAAAAAAACCCAGATTAAGGTTTTCGTTTATAGAAAAGCACCTTTTTTTAATTTTGAAGGAATGCAAGATTTTAAAATAGTGGTGGGAAAGATATTTAGGAAGTCTCACTAAAATGTAAGGTCTGAACTGATTTGCATATAATTGCTCTACTGAGACACATATCCAGGACAGCCCATTTGATTATAGCGAACTTTGTAGTATTAAAGCACAAAGAGTAACTCATTTAGAAGTCAAGGATTCCCAGTGCACAGATTTTCAATTTGCAGCCAATCCTTGATGGATTTACTCAAAAGTAAATACCACCAGGTCAAAAAGGATTTACTCTCAAGGGACGGCTTCCTTGGATATTACAGTGTAGGGTGTTTTAAATCCCAGCATATCTGCTTCACTTGGCTATCCAACAGGCACTGGAACCTAGTTTACTGAAATCAAATCGGATATTTGTCCTACCAGGGCAGTCTGACACAAGTCAACTCAGAAGTACCTTTCCAAGAGGTTTCTTAGAATTGCAGCAACCAAACTACTGAACAAAGAGAACTTGCTTCTGATCAGAAAATTTCAGAACTGGGCTATTAATTAATCTGTATGAATAGATATTTTCACTCTAGTTTTATAAAACCAGCCTTTGCACTCAGACTCTAAACAGGTATTCTGAAAATATTCTGAAATTGTGTTAGAAACATGGCTTAATTTATGCTTACATATTTCCAATATACCCTCAGGAGTATTTTTATGCAAAGCCCACAGTTAGGATTGTATACACTCCTCAAGCTCCGTTTCGCAACTACATACTTCACTGCTGTTTTGCAGAGCTTTTTATTATTATTATTATTAATTGCATTTCTCTGGGATAACTAGAATAAAGCAAGTTTGGGTCTCAGCCATAATCGGCTGTAGTGTCTACATGATAAAGAGCGAGAGAGATTTTGGATTCACGAACCTTAAACTATTTTTTATTTACATCTTGATATATAAAACCACTATTAGAAGTCGCGCTTCTATGGATTTTTTTTTAGGATGGCCAGCTTCTTATTTCGGTGTGCGCGGTCAAGCATAAGCAGTAATGTCCTCCTACATGTATGTATGAAACACCAGTATTTCTGCAACGCAAAACCCTCAAACCGTAGGGCACCAGCCCTCCAATAGTGAGCCCAGTGGGTCCCGCAGCTTTCGATGGTGAAGGTTAAAGGACACGCTTAATTTCCTTGTTGCAATGTGCGGCGATTTCAAAACGCTCAGCTTTTGCTGCATCGGGCGTGATGTACAGATAAAGATAAAAGAGGCACCACTTGGGACACTAAGAGCCAGAGAGAGAAAGAGAGGCGTGCTTGTGCGTGCCTACACACAGAGAGCAATGACAAACACGTGTATTCGTTTTAAGAACGCTGGCAGACACGGTTCGGTTCACTTTGATGGGTAGTTAGCCCACTGATCCTAAATCCACTCCTTGCAAGTCAGCTAGTTTCTCTGAAACGTACCAAGATCGCATATTTCCTCTATCGGCTTCTGTAAGGGTATTCTAGGCATGGAAATCCTAAATAAACCAATTTTAATCCGCCTATCCCTTTTAAGTCACCGATTTTAAGTCTGTCTCTTCTCTCCCCCTCCACCACTCTTTCACCCCTCTCTCTTTCACAATCTTTTTTTTCCCCTTTTCTTTTCTTTTTAAATGTTACTTCTGCCCTCATCTGGGAGCTTTGAAAGTCACCCGGGAGAGTTCAAACGGTTAAATGGAAACCCCAAAGTGGTAAATGGCCTTATTGCTGCTCCGATGGCCACGCTTTCCAGTAAGTGGTTTGAAAAGCAAACAAGGCCTGGAACATACCAGCCTTGTTAAAGTTTCCTTGGTGATATCCAGACACCTTTTCCAGCCCCGGCCATCAGCCTTTCCGCTCCCCGCCTCCCCACTTGCCACGGCCGGGCTCTTGAGAGGTCCCTAAAATTCGCCACTCGCCGGGATTTCGACGGGGGGAGGTTCGGTGAGGAAGGCCTTCCTTGGACGCCTGCTCGGAGGGAGCCAGAACGTGAGAAGGAAGGAAGGAAGGAAGCAAGCAAGCAAGCAGCGTGACCTTTTCCAGCCTGAAGGAAACCGAAAGCGGAAG